CCATGTGGCTGCCATGCTTGGTTGATGCTACGGTTGCTAGGAGTATATTACCTTATTCCCCCATGCGCTCTGCACTGGAGTGTAGCTGTTGATTGGTAACTTTTGCAATTAAAAATGAAAAACCCGTGTACTCTTTGAGATTGCAGGCAAATCAGCTATGTATCACATTCCTGACTTATGAACAAACCTAACACGACTGTCCACCAAGGTCTTTCTGTCTGGTAGAGCAGGTACCTTGCAGTACCCTGCCGCACCGTTCTGCAGCCCTAAAACTCTCAGCACATAAAAACGGTGTGTCTCCTGTACCCCAAGGCACTCGTAAACATTTCCACTGCGAAGTTTATTCACCATCCGCCATCACACTCCCTCCTCCACGCCCCCCTCACTGCTTCTTCCCCTCGCCCCCTTGCCGCGCCGCCAGCAGCTCCTCTAGATCTGCCAGCCCACCCACCCTCTCCAGCTCTTCCGGTCCCAGGAACAACCCAAACGGCACTCCATTGAACTTGTCTGCGTGGTGCAACTGGCGAGGAAAGAGAGGGAGAGGAAAGGGAGAAGCATACGGAAGGGTGTGAGCGAGGAGGGAAATGGTTGGCAGGGGGGATAACATCAAGGAAAATGATAGAGCAAACAAGCAAACAAACCAACGACTAGAGAAACGGCAAGGAGCGTGGGTTGAGAGGAGGCCCAATGAGGGCAGGGCCTCCTCATGAACGGCAGCGACTATCTTCAGTACGGAACGTCAGCGATGGGGCCCACTGGGAATGCTGGTGTTACCTTTGAGGCGCTAACCAATGCTGCCAGGGCAGGCATACCTGGTGGGCGGCCGCCACTCGCTTTAGGTACGGGACGTCAGATATGTGGCCCACTGGGAATGCCGGTGTTACCTTCTGAGGCGCTTCAAAAAAGTAAGGGGAGGAGGCAGCAATGCTGGCAGAGCAGGCGTACCTGGTGGGCGGCGGCGACTCGCTTCAAGTACGGGACGTCAGCAATGGGCCCCACTGGGAATCTCCGGTGCACCAACCCGGGTGTAATATGGAGTGTATTGTGAGACGACTCATGATACACATGGGAAGCGTTGAGGGCAGCAGGGCAGGGTAGGCAAACCTGGTGGGCGGCAGTGACTCGCTTCAAGTACGGGACGTCAGCAATGGACCCCACTGGGAATGCTGGTGTTACCTTTGAGGCGCCGTAAAAAAGCAAGGGGAGGAGGCAGCAATGCTGGCAGAGCAGGGCAGGGCAGGGCAGGCATACCTGGTGGGCGGCAGCGACTCGCTTCAAGTACGGGACGTCAGCGATGGGGCCCACTGGGAATCTCCGGTGCACCAACCCGTCATGCACGAACATGTAGGCCATTCCAAACACCGTGATGCCCAGGCCCTGTGGTGGGAAAGGCGGAGGGGAAAGGAAGGGCAAGGGAACAGCAAAAGCAAAGTGTGTTGGAGAACCAGCCCGTCGTGCACGAACATGTAGGCCATTCCGAACACCGTGATGCCCAGGCCCTGTGGTGGGGAAGGCAGAGAGGGAAGCGGCGGAGGCAAGGTAGCGGCACAAAGAGGGCATGTTCAAGCACAAGTCCGTCGTGCACGAACATGTAGGCCATTCCAAACACCGTGATGCTCAGGCCCTGTGAAGTGGAGGAGGAGGGGGAGAAGCAGAGGCGAGGACACGTTAAAACGTACGGCGCCGAAGCAGAGGCCGGGGACGAGTCCGGGGTTGAAGAAGCCGTAGGCGATGAGCGCGAGGAGAGCGAGGGGCAAGCAGGCGGGACGAGATAAGTAAATGTGGCGCGTCTAACTAAGAAGTTGTACGTACGGCGCCGAAGCAGAGGCCGGGGAAGAGCCCAGGGTTGAAGAAGCCGTAGGCGACGAGCGCGACGAGAGCAAGGGGTGGCAGGAGGAAGGAGATGAGAAAATGTGGCGCGCCTAAGACAAAAAAGACTTCACGAGGTGTGGAGACGTACGGCGCCGAAGCAGAGGCCGGGGACGAGTCCTGGGTTGAAGAAGCCGTAGGCGATGAGCGCGATGGCGGGCACGGCGTTGATGATCGCGAACACGTCGTTCAGCTCGAACGCGCCCTCGCGCGGCTCGTGATGCGACTGGCGGGAAGGAAGAAAGGGGGCGAATAGAAGTTGGATGGGATGGAAATGCTGATCATGCACGTTGTTGAATAGGCGCGGCGTCAGTTAGGCACGGAATGGAAAGAAATGTCAAGAGATTTTGATTATGGTGGCACGTCAGACGAGCAGATGATGACAGCCCGAATCCCATACAGCGCGATCTACTTGTTGTTAGGTCGAGTCTCGATACCACACCATGCATTACTAGTCATACTCCCATAGTTACCCATGGAGCTTGGGTTACCTTGTGCATGCTCCACAGCGATCCGTGCCACAGCGCGTCGTGCGCCCATCGCGCCCAGAACTCCATCCCCACGGCCGCGCCAATCACGAGCGCCACCGTGCCCACCACCTCCTCCAAGGGGACCGGCTCGCCCTGCACGCACCCAGTCAATCCGCACATTAAATCCTTAATAATAAAAGCACGTTTTTCTGTAACAGAATAATTGCCTTTAACCTTTGTGGTGTCTCACTTTGGTTTGAAAGGGTTGATTATCAATACTTCAGCCACTTTCGTCCGATACATGAATCGCGTTATGAGAGCAGCTTACCTGCGTCTGGAAGACGAAGCGGTACCAGACGGCAGCGACAGCGAGGAATGTGACCCCCACACTCGACGCGATCGCGGCCAGCTGGTACGTGGACCGCTCACTTTGCCGCCGCCTCTTCCGCTCCAGCGCCGTTTCTGAAAGACCCGCCGACGCGACCGCTGGAAGGCTCTCCGCAACAGCCGCTGCGATCTTTATTTTCTCGTCTTCGAGAGGAATCGGTTGGTCCAATGTAGACTCTTTGCCGGTCTGTGATCTGGTTTTAGGCATTTCAGCCACGGCGTACGTGACGAGGCGTCTGGATCGCTGCACGAGGGACACTTCTCGTACGGCGTGCACGCGGCATTCTGATCCCAGCGAAAAAGACTTGGAAGGGACGGAGGCTCTTAGCGAGCACCCAGCAACAGCTACGCAACTCATGGTGAGACAAGTATCGGAGAAGTTAAGAGCTTGGAGTGGGGAACGGTATCTGACGATGCTTTACTGGAGAGGCTTTTTACGAAGTGAGGTGCGTCGCACTAATATGATCAGAAAGTTCGGCTTTAGGGGGTCATTCCCTGATATTTGCTCGCGAAATCCTCTCCCAAGCTCCCTGCTTGATGGTCCGCAAGGAATTCAGGCAGCAGCAAGGAGCCTGAGGACCTGCGATGTTCCCAAGGGGAAGCAAGCAAGCAACGAATGGAGGGGTACGCCCCACTGCAAGGAAGGCCAGCGAAGAAAGGCATATCATAATGCAGGCGAGTGAGAGGGCGAGAATGTGATTACGGTGATCTCTGGGATCGCGGGCTAGTGCGAACGACGCCCCCCTCGAAGTGCCCAAATCCCAAGAACTTGGCCACGTCGACATTTGGCCACGCGGTAGAAATTCCTTTAGAGAGTTCCGGCCAATGAACGTCATTTCGCTGTCGATGTGGCGCAGTTCCTTTGGCTTTCTGGTGTGTCTGGAGCTATTTTTGGGACCACCTGTCGCACGCTTTTCATCATTACGAAGTCATTCTCGCATATGTGGTGGAACGCACCCGCCACATCGGACCAGCGCATCTCATCCATCCAATCTCTACAGTCTCGGTGACGAGCACCTCCAATACTGGGGGTATCGCATCCGGACTTTGCGGTCCACATCAATTGGAACTACACCCAACCTAGAAACACGGTCATAGAAGGTAGGTACCCTTGGCACCAGTGTATCCATCTGTGTGTGGTGGAGAATTCAAAGACTGTAACGAAGCTCTACGTAAAGAGGATTTCTCCCTCAACACAAATTTGTAACATATATCAGAAAGCCACATATTTTCCGACATCAGAGCAGGGGGGGAACCTGGCGCGAACCATTCTGTCAGAGCACACCTCGTCAGCGAATGGGCAGATGAGAAGGTGGTGCCGCGACAAGCAGTAGAGTCAAAGCTGACCGTCGATATTATCGCGCTTTTGGCGGCAATTATCCGACGGTGAATAGATGCCAAAAATTAGCAGATGCTGCAGCAGGCGATGCGTGATCCCGTCAGCAAAGAGGCAGCAGCAGCATAGGAAATGCCTGCCAGACTCACGAAAATGGCCATGCCCAATGTGGAGGAGCATGAGGCAAGGCAGAACTGGAAGTGCCAGAAGAATATTTGACTGATTCATATGTGATGCTTTCTCCATCACTTGTAGTGGCCTCGGTGATTTGACTGACTGGACATCGATTATCTCCGTTGCAGGTTTCAGGTGGTAGAATCAGCATTAGTGGAATAGGTTTCAGATAGAGGAAACAGCGCTAGTTGAAGACGGCAGCACAGACGCGTGGTGTGTTCACGTGCTTCATCGGTAAACGCTTATTCCTTCGCGAGAAGCGGCATTCAATTCGTGCGATTTTGGACTTTCGCGTGGCCTCGCATTAGATCCTTCACATCAGCGCGTCAGCGTATACTTATATTCGTAACGTAAATTTCGTTCCTGGTAATATGGCGCATTGCGTCAAAAGTCCCGCCAAATTTCAAGACCCGAATCTAGCAGATCAGAGGCGGCACGTGACTTCATACGGTATAAGTACACCGTCAGCTTCGGAACCGTCGATTAATCTACAAACACCTACCATTGGCCCCAAGTCAGCAGGCTCCGACGACGCCGTGTCTCCTCCTCTCGTCTTTCCTCTGCTCGACAGCCAATCCTCCAATCAGGTTACTCCCGATCTCCGGCCAAGCCAATCCCGAACTGGCACCGGACGCAAGATCGACGTGGAAAATCTTCCGAGTCTAGCCGCCTCTCCCGTTCCCAAAACTCGTCTTTTTGACTTGCCCGAGAGTAATACTGGTCGCAAGTTCCGGCTATCGAAGTCCATCGGAGAGATCTCGATAATGCCTCCTGTGGTGATGTCCGAGGGGCCCTGTAGTGCAAGAGCGAGAAGCTTTAAAGCGAGGACAGGCGAGCACGAGCTCCTCGATGGGCTGAAGCAACGATGGAGAGGTCTCGGTGCGGACTGTAGCGAGTTACAAAACGACGGCTTTCAGTGTGCTGGTTACCACATCGCGAAGCACGACGAGGAAAACGCGATCGCACGCGCGGGAAGCACGGGTCGGAGTGCTGCAATAAGGCGAACCTGCAGCGAAGCTGCAGCTCAGCTTCACGCCACACTACCTGGCGACGGTTCCTCCGACATCCTCACTCGCGAGGCTCGTACTGCGGTGATCGATCCGTCTCCGTCTGCTCTATCCGCGGTTGACGGCCCTCCACCGTTTAAGTCTATTTTTGAGTCCACTCAAAAGTCGTCTGCGTCTGCTCCATCCGCGGCTGACGGTCCTCCGGCGTTCAGGCCGTGGAGAACGAGCCGGCATCCGAACCAGAAGCGGCCGACTCAGCACGGCGGTGTGGATCAGCGGCCCCCGCTGGCGCAGCAGCCGTGTCGGCCGAAGCACTATCAGCCTGATGAGCGACGTCTGGACCAACAGCAGTCAGTCGACAGTCAGCAGCAGCAGCAGCAGCAGGTGGAATTGCGGCTGAAAGGCGTTTCAGGACCCCGGTCGCTCTACAGGAGCGAAAGCGCGTTTCCCGCTCTTTTTCTCGAGTCGCTTGACGGCGACAGCGCTTACAAACCGTCGGATCATGCTGACGTGGCAGGCGGCATTGGTGGCCGTCAGAGATTGGAGGAGAGTGTCGGTCGCACGGTGTCGCTCGAGCAGTCCGCTCTCGAGGCCCTCGCCGCGCCGTTCAAGGTTCCGCACACCCCTCCGCGCGGTCAGAAGACGCGCCGCTTCCCTACGAGCCGAAGCGAGAGCTACACTCACAACAGCAGCAGCAGCAACCTCGGCAGCCACAGCAGCAGCAGCACCACCACCACCACGACGGGACACGGCTTCAGCACACCGACAGTCAGTCGCAGCATATCAAAGTACACACCGGCACGCGGCATCAGTGCCAGGCCTTCCCCCGTCCCCCCAATCGTCATCAGCCCGGCTGTGCGCGCCTCTGGGGATTCTTCCGCCAAACCCCGCGTCTCTTCTCCCAGCCTCCGCCCGCTCGTTTTCTCCCCCCCAGTTTCCTCCCCCGCGCGCGGAACCTCCCCGTTCGGACCAGCGCTGGTGCGGGAAACGGTCTCTACAGTACAGCTGAGCGCGCGGGGGGACGCGGGGAGCTATCCGGGGGGGGTTGCGGGGGGAAGGGCATTGGGGGAAGAGGGGGACGGCGCGGAGGAGGAGGAGCGGGAGTTCACGCGGCACGTGCTGGGGCGGCCATACGCGGAGCTTGAGGCGCGATACGAGGTGGCGGAGGGGGAGCTGGGGCGGGGGAAGGTGGGCGTGCTGCGCGCGTGCAGGTGCCGCGCGACTGGGCGGCAGTTCGCGTGCAAGACGATCAGCAAGGCCGCCATGATTGTGAGTGCCGTTTACTCGCCATGGTTGTGAGTGCCGTTCCATTCTGGGACGACTTTTGAGTCGACGCCAAAGGCAGTTCGCGTGCAAGACGATCAGCAAGGCCGCCATGATTGTGAGTGCCGTTTACTCGCCATGGTTGTGAGTGCCGTTCCATTCTGGGACGACTTTTGAGTCGACGCCAAAGGCAGTTCGCGTGCAAGACGATCAGCAAGGCCGCCATGATTGTGAGTGCCGTTTACTCGCCATGGTTGTGAGTGCCGTTCCATTCTGGGACGACTTTTGAGTCGACGCCAAAGGCAGTTCGCGTGCAAGACGATCAGCAAGGCCGCCATGATTGTGAGTGCCGTTTACTCGCCATGGTTGTGAGTGCCATTCCATTCTGGGACGACTTTTGAGTCGACGTCATAGGCAGTTCGCGTGCAAGACGATCAGCAAGGCCGCCATGATTGTGAGTGCCATCGTTAGTGATAGTGCATATCCCCATTGCTCGCATCGCGTGCAAGACCATCAGCAAGGCCGCCATGATTGTGAGTGCCGTTTCATTCTGAGATCTTTCAGAATGTCATCGCTAGTGATAGTGCATTGACGGTGCAGATCCCGTTGCTCGCATCGTATGGCACGCACTCATAAGTGCGTGGGCCAATGTGTCCTCCCCTCCCAAGGCTGTGTGCGACCATTCAAGTATCTTACCCCCGCGAAACCACTTTCTTTGCGCCAAACGCTCATTTGCGTCCGCGTTGTGCGCCCTGCCCCCTGTCGTTCCCCCGTCCCCCTTGCTGCGCCAAACCCCCGCGCAGTGCGAGGCGGAGTGCGACGAGGTGCGGCGGGAGGTGCAGATGATGCAGCGCGCGCGCGGGCACCCGCGCATAGTCGCCATGCACGAGGCGCTCGAGGACGCGCGCGCCGTCCACGTCATCATGGAGCTCTGCCACGGTGGCGAGCTCTTCCACCGCATCGTGACACGTCAGCGGTACAGCGAGCCCGCGGCTGCCAGCGTGGCGCGCCAGCTGGCGTCGGCGCTGGCGTTCCTGCACGCGCGGGGCGTGGCGCACCGGGATGTGAAGCCGGAGAACATTCTGCTGTGCTCGCGTGATGATGACACGAGCATCAAGCTCACCGACTTTGGGGCCGCCACCCTGCTGCTGCCTGGTAGGTGTTTTCCCCCCCACCACCCCGATTCCCCCCAACCCACACCCCTCCGCCCATTCCCCTCCCCTATCCCCACACCATTCACCGGGATGTGAAGCCCGAGAACATTCTGCTGTGCTCGCGCGCGGACGACACGAGCATCAAGCTCACCGACTTTGGCGCCGCCACCCTGCTGCTGCCTGGTAGGTGTTGGCCGTACCCATTCCCCCCCACCACTTCCGTCCACCCATTCTACCTCCGCTCGTTCCCCCTCCATGCACCGGGATGTGAAGCCGGAAAACATTTCGCTGTGGTCGCGTGAAGATCATACGAGCATCAAGCTCACCGACTTTGGGGCCGCCACCCTGCTGCTGCCTGGTAGGTGTTGCCCCCACCCGATTCCGCTCAACCAATCCCCCCCACACCATTCCGCTCATTCACCTCCGCCCATTCTCCATTCCCCCTTCCCGCCCACCTCTCCCCTCCGCCCATTGCCTTCCACCTATTCCCCTCTTCATATCCTCTCCACCATCCCACTCAACCCATCCCCCTCCATCTATCCCCCACTCCCCATTCCCCGTGGTGTACACCCCTCACTACACTTGCATAATGATAGAGCAAGTGGAATCGCCCTATTGCTCAGCCCCTGAGGTGACTTTGGAGTCGTCTCAAATATCCACCCCTCACTACCCTTGCACAATGCATAGAGCATGTGGGCTCGCACTATTGCTCGCCCTATTGCATAGAGCTGTACAGGTGCCGGCCTCTAACCATCCTTCTCCACACCCCTCCCTCCAGGCACACAGGGCGAGTTGGCTCGCCCTACTACGGAGCCCCTGAGGTGTTGTCAGAGCAGTACGGGCTGCAGGCAGACGTGTGGAGTGCAGCCGTGGTGCTCTTTGTCCTGCTCTCCAACTCGCCGCCCTTCTTCTCCCCGTTCACCTGTACCTGTTTCTTTCTCCCCAAACCCCCGCTGCACATCCCTCCCTCCAGGCGCACAGTGCACAGAGCGTGTAGGCTCGCCCTACTACTTAGCCCCTGAGGTGCTATCAGAGCAGTATGGGCTGCAGGCGGATGTGTGGAGCGCAGGCGTTGTGCTCTTTGTGTTGCTCTCCGGCTCGCCGCCTTTCTCCGGTCGCTCCAACGATGAGATCTTCCAGGCCGTCCGATGCAAGGAGATTGACCTCACGAGCAAGCCCTGGCCGTCAATCTCGGAGGGAGCCAAGGATCTCGTCCGTCGGATGCTCACGAGGGACCCTGCGGCGAGGATCACCATGGAAGAAGTGCTAGGTGAGCGGGTAGGCTGCATCGGTTGGGGCGGGAGGAACCAGGCTTAGAGGGAATGCATCTGCAGAAGCAGCAGCACAAGCGTGAATGGTGACTGTGAATGTGAGGCGAGGGTCACCATGGAAGAGGTGCTAGGTGAGCGGGTGGGCTGCATTGGTTGGGGCGGGAGGAACCAAGCTTTGAGGGAATGCATCTGCAGAAGTGGCAGCACAAGCGTGAATGGTGACTGTGAATCTGAGGCGAGAGTCACCATGGAAGAAGTGCTTGGTGAGTGGCTGGTCTCAAGCGGTTGAGAGGGAACAGGGTTACGCATGGGCAGCATTATTGAGCTGCATGCGCAGTATGGCAAATCTGATGAACAGCACCTCTTTGGGTGTTCAAGTGGGTAGTCCTTTGCTTCACCCTAACCCCTTGACGTTCATATCAATGACTGCCGCTCTTCCCAATTCTGGTAACTCCATTTCCGTGCAGATCACCCGTGGATTTGTGCTCATGACGAGAGTGGAAGTACATGATTCGGTGGCATCCGTGATGTATCATTATCACTGTTGCAGTATACAATTTGTGGAACCTGAAAGTGTTAGGCTACACTTACCGGTAATGGTAAAGGGATGCTGTTCTAGTGGTGTAGCACGCGAAGGTTAAAACACGGGTGCCAAGCAGACTCATAGTACGTACACTACACTAGTAGACTAACAATAAGTTGCAAAACACTACAGCTAGCTATCGATAATGCTGAGACGAAATATTTGAGCGACAGGATAACCTCGAACTGCTTTCGACCCCGTGAAGCACTGTCAAGCAAGATCTGAACACTCAATCAGAATTCCTACCCTACATCTTTTGTCCAAAAACTAAAGAAATATGGCAGTAAATGAAGCAAAATCTCCACTGTCACTTGACACTTGGACCCATCTTGGCCGCCAGGGGACAAGCACCTAGAGTTCACCCGAACACCACGATGAGGTGGGGGACTTTCGTTCGGGAACACCTGCAAGGGAGCGGAGGGAGTAAAAAAATCAAAGGGAGGAACGGTTAGGATTACTGCCAATGGGCAGGGAAAACAAAACACCAATGGACAGGAAGAAGCGTCTCGTTGTCAGAATTGAGTTGCTGTCAGGTTGCCGCGGTGAACCGCAAAAAGTGGCGGGAGAAGGAAGGAGGAGCCACAAAAACAGCTCACTTGCACCAACTCCACACTTGGACCAAGTTAGCATATGATCCGAGTGACGACTTGGTCCAAGTGTGTGTCAAATGTTGTAGCCTATAGTGAGGTTTGTCTTAGGGGGTACAAAACTTAGGGTTAGCTATATGTACCCCAACCAACATCAATGCACCATCCATTCTTCATTCTGACATGGTATCAGTTAGGTTAGGATCCTGTGGGATCCCGTTCCTCCGTTCTCCGTTCGAGCCTCCCGAGCCTGATCCTAGCTCTCATTCGTCCCGGTTCCGTTGTTACCGCGCGTAGTGCCGCAGTCACTGACTTTGCCTCTACCCGCCGCCTTGACTTCGCCACCGCTCTTGTGGCTGCTCCTCCTTCCAGTCCTCTGGCCGTCGGGGGTGTGTCTGCCCTTGGCTGTGACGCCCTAGAGGACAGGCAGTTTGAGCTAGAGTTCCTGGCGGCCGCTTCCCCTCATCTCTGTGCCATGCTCCTCGCCCCTGAGGGTGACCCCGACGCCCTTGACATTCCGACTCCTCGCACTTACGCTGAGGCAGTGTCAGGGCCTTGGGCCTCTCAGTGGAGAGCTGCCATGGACGCAGAGATGGCCTCCTACAGATCCACAGGCACCTACGTCGATGAGGTTCCCCCTCCGGGGGCGAACGTAGTCGACGGCATGTGGATCTACAGGGTGAAGCGGCCACCGGGATCTCCTCCGGTCTTCAAGGCGCGCTACGTGGCTAGAGGTTTCAGTCAGCGCGAGGGAGTTGACTTCTTTCAGACCTTCGCGCCCACCCCGAAGATGACCACTCTTCGGGTGTTACTACACGTAGCAGCACAGAGAGACTACGAGTTACACTCTCTCGACTTCTCTACTGCTTTCCTTCAGGGCAGTCTTCACGAGGAGGTCTGGTTGCGTCGTCCCTCTGCCTTCACTGGCTCTTTCCCTCCTGGGACCCAGTGGAGGCTGAGGCGACCGGTTTACGGTCTTCGTCAGGCTCCTCGTGAGTGGCACGACACCCTGCGTTCTACCCTGTCTGACCTTGGGTTCCAGCCGTCTTCTGCTGACCCGTCGCTGTTCGTTCGTCGTGGCACCACACCTTTCTTTGTTCTGGTCTACGTTGACGACCTTGTTTTCGCCACCCCTGACAGGGTTGCTTTGGCACACGTGAAGTCCGAACTGCAGAAGAGACACACCTGCACTGATCTTGGTGAGCTGCGCCACTACCTTGGCCTGCAGATCACCAGGGACAGAGCTGCTCGCACCATTACACTTTCACAGTCGCACATGGTGCAGCAGGTCCTTCAGCGGTTCGGGCTTCAGCACTCCACAGTACAGCGCACACCTCTTGCTGTTGACCACAGACTCACTGGACCCTTTCCTGACGAGCCGTTCGAGCCTAGTGGTCCCTACGCTGAGCTTGTGGGTTGCCTCATGTACCTGATGACTTGTACTCGCCCGGACCTCGCCTTCCCTCTCAGCGTTCTTGCGCGCTTTGTTGCGCCAGGGAGACACCGTCCTGTTCACTGGACAGCAGCTGTGAGGGTGGCGAAGTACCTAGCGACGACGTCAGGCGTGGGGCTAGTTCTTGGAGGGCAGCAGTCTGTCGTACTTACTGGTCACTGTGACTCCTCTTACGCTGACGACGCTGAGACTCACAGGTCTACTCAGGGGTACTGTTTCAGCCTGGGTTCTGGAGCTGTTTCCTGGCGGTCCACGCGCTCCTCTTCGGTCTCGACCTCTACAGCTGAGGCTGAGATCTACGCTGGTGCCATGGCGGCACAGGAGCTGCGTTGGTTGACCTTCTTGCTCACCGACCTTGGTGAGCGGCCGAGCTCTGCACCGACCTTGTTCACTGACAACAAGGCGTCTATTCTCCTTTGTCGAGAGCCACGACTGGAGAGCAGAGTGAAGCACATTCACGTCAGGTACTTTCTTCTGCGAGAGTTGCAGAGGCGTGGACAGGCTCGCTTTGAGTTTGTGGAGTCCGAGGCCAACACTGCAGACATCTTCACCAAGGCGCTTCCGCCTTGTGACCACCAGAGGTGCTGTGTGCAGTTAGGCCTTGTTGACACTGGTTCTCGTGTTGCTTAGACTTGAGTGTACTGTTTACTTTGCTTTCTATATATCTCTGTTACTTCTTGGACTGGCCTTGTGGCCACTGTTGTTTGTGCTCAGACTGTGTGGTGACGTTGTGATCCACCCTGAGCTTTGTTTCTTGGACTGGTCTTGTGACCGTACTCGTTTGGTTCTGCTAGACACCCCTCACTTAGGCTATGGGGGTGTGTCAAATGTTGTAGCCTATAGTGAGGTTTGTCTTAGGGGGTACAAAACTTAGGGTTAGCTATATGTACCCCAACCAACATCAATGCACCATCCATTCTTCATTCTGACAGTGTGGACTTGGACCAAATGAGGACTTGGTCCAAGTGACGACTTGGTCCGAATGAGGACTTGGTCCAAGTGACGAGTTGGTCCAGATAGGACTTGGTTCAAGTGAGGGCTTGGTCCAAGTAACGACTTGGTCCAAATAGGTTGAAATCGGCTTGACATGGTAATGGTAATGGTAATGGTAATGGAAATGGTAATGGTAATGTTTTTGAAAATGGTATTGGTAATCGTAATGGTCATGGGAATGATAATGGTAATGGTAATGGTAGTGGTAGTGGTAATGATAATGGTAATGGTAATGGTAATTGTAATGGTAATGGTAGTGGTAATGGTAATGGTAATGGTAGTGGTAATGGTAGTGGAAATGGTAATAGAAATGGTAACGAAAAGAGTAATGGTAATACAATTGGTAATAAAAATGGTAATGGTAATGGTAATTGTCAAATTATATGTGTAACATTTATGTAGGCTATAGTACTGGGTCTAGCCTTAGGGGGTACACATATTTTCTCGACACTTGTTTTGTATCCCCCTCCAAACCCTAATTCCACACAACTTCATGCCTAAGATTCTAAGATGGTATCTAGAGCCTAGAGGTCTCTAGGACCTAAGATAAGGGCCCACCGTTACCACGTTACCTCACCTGCCATGCCTCCTGCCCGCGCGCGCCTCGGCTGCACGTGCGCGGCCCTTTTTTTTCTCCCGCGCGCGCCGCTTGAGCAGCCCGCGCGCTCTTCGATTACCCGCCCGTTGCGGCCCCTTACACGCCCGTCGCGGCCCCTTAGCCGCCCGTCGCGGCCCCTTAGCCGCCCGTCGCGGCCCCTTAACCGCCCGCGGCTCCTTACCCGCCCGTCGCGGCCCCTTACCCGCCCGTCGCGGCCCCTTAGCCGCCCGTCGCGGCCCCTTAGCCGCCCGTCGCGGCCCCTTAGCCGCCCGTCGCGGCCCCTTAGCCGCCCGCGGCCCCTTACCCGCCCGTCGCGGCCCCTTACCCGCCCGTCGCGGCCCCTTACCTGGCCTGTCGCGGCCCCTGGCGGCCCCCCACGCCGCTCTTTCGCAGCCCTGCAGCAGCCGCCGCTGGACCAGCCGCCCCTGCAGCAGCCGCCCCAGCGTCCCCTGCAGCAGCCGCACCTGCAGCAGCTGTCCCAGGCCACTGCAGCAGCCGCCCCTGCAGCAGCCGCCCCTGCCCCTGGAGCAGCCGCCCCTGCAGCAGCCGCCCTTGGCCCCTGGAGCAGCCGCCTCTGCAGCAGCCGCCCCTGGTCCCTGGAGCAGCCGCCCCTACACCTGCTGCCCCTTGCCACTGGAGCAGCTGCCCCTGCAGCAGCCGCCCCTGCCCCTGGCCCTTCGGGCAGCCGCCCCTGCAGCAGCCGCCCCTGGCCCCTGCAGCAGCCGCCCCTGGCCCCTGCAGCAGCCGCCCCTGGCCCCTGCAGCAGCCGCCCCTGGAGCAACCGCCCCTGCAGCAGCCGCCCCTGGCCCCTGGAGCAGCCGCCCCTGGAGCA